GCTTGTTTGTGATTTTGACATTGTTTTGTTCATAAATGTCCATGTTCCATCTATATTTGTTTTTTTTTTCATTTTATTTATTTATTTTTGGTTTTTCGAGACAGAGTTTGTCTATATTGCTTTGGAGCCTGTCCTGGAACTAGCTCTGTAGGCCAGGCTGGCCTCGAACTCACAGAGATCTGCTTGCCTCTCCACCTCTATAGTGCTGGGATTAAAGGCATGCCTTCCTCTGCCTCCCAAATGCTTGGATTAAAGACATACATCACCACTGCCTGGTTAAGTTTGTTTTTTAAATAAACACCATTTATCAAGTTCAGACATTTAGTTTACTTACGATGTTTTAAAATCATTCAATTGGGTTTTGCTAGTAATTTTCCTTGCATCAGTCAGCATAATCATAGTATTTCCTTCCTTGCATACCTGCAATCAATCTCTACATACCTGCAATCAATCTCATGTGACCAACGGGTCTAAATATTTTGATACCATATTACAGTGGTTTTGTTGCTAATGTATTTCTGTGTCCAAGTTCATAAGGAAGATTATTTGGACCTGATTTTGGTATTTGAATATTATTAACCTCTCAAAATGGGTGGGGAAATGGTTACTTCTGTGTTTCTCAAAGATTATAGGAACAAGTCTTACATTTAAAAACATGTTCTCAACTGGGCATGATGGCATATAACTTTAACAGGAAGCAGAGGCAAGTGTATATCCTCAGAGTTCAAGGCCAGCCTGGTCTATGAAGCAGAAGACCCTGTCTCAAAAACCAACCAAACAAACACACAAACAAAACAGGGCTGGAGAGATGGTTTAGAGGCTAAGAGTATTAACTGCTCTTCTAGAGGTCCTGAGTTCAAATCCCAGCAACCATATGGTGGCTCACAACCATCTATAATGAGATCTGGTGCCCTCTTCTGCCCTGCAGGCATACATGGAGATAGAATGTTGTATACATAATATATAAACCTTTTTTAAAAATCCTCAAAACAATAAAAATATGTTAGCAGATAATTTCAATCATTTAAAAATACTCTGTGAGTCAGTAAAGGTACCTGCTGGCTGGGATTGGCTCAGGTCAGTCTTCTTGAACTTGCCCCTTACAGGAACATTCCATCATGAACTTGAGTGGAGGAGGGTATGGCCAACAGCTGAGAGCCCTTGAAGAGCACTAGACATACTTTGGCACCAATTCCTCCTCATATACCAGCTAGCTTCCCTTCTCTGGGGTTTTACAGCTTTGTATAAACTCCCATAGGTCTGTATAAAACCCATAGGACCTGCTGTTGGCTATGAACAGGCTGGAGCAGTAGTTCTTACCCAGGGGTCATGTTGTCTTCCATGGGAAAGGGTCATGTGGCAATATCTAGCAATAGTTTTATCACCACAGTGATAAAAAGTGCTATCAGTCTGTAGTTGGAAGAAGTCAGAATTCTGCAAAATATTCTACAGTCTTTAAAAGAATTATCTAACACAAACCATCAACCATGAGGGATGTCCCTAGACTAGTGGAATACTTGCTTAAGCTACTTTGACACAACCCTAGGGATGATGAACAAACATGCTGTGACAAAACACCATGGCCAAGGCAACTTGCAGAAGAAAGGATTTATTTGAGATGTATGGTTTCAGAGGGTTAGAGACCATGACCTTCATGGTTGGGATCATGGCATCAGGAAGGCAAGCACAGCACTGGAACAGTAGCTGAGAGCTTGGATCTTGAGACACAACCACAAGGTGTGCATGTGCAACACACAAACACACACACACACACACACACAATGGTATGTTGAAACTTTAAAAGCCCACACCCAATGACACACCTCCTCTAACAAGTTATACCTCCTAATCATTCTCAAAGAGTTCCACAAATCACAGACCATGTATTCAAACATGCACCTATGGAAGCCTTTCTCATTCAAACTACAATACCTGCCTTTTTCAAGATGAACTTCAACCTGAATATCAGCAGTTTAGGATGGCTTGCATTTTGTCCCCATTATTCCCACAAACCACGCTGTCTGGAATGAGATACTTCTTATGTACAGAGCATGAATTCCATAGAGATGGAACTCCTGGGTCATAGGGCAGGGACTTTCACAAGGCTCTTAATAGATATATTGCAAAATGCTTTCCAAAAAAGTGACGCTATCTTGCTCTTTGACCATCTCACTCTATTATCACCAGCAATGCTTCAAGGCTTTGCACTAGTTAAAAGTAAAGATGTTCTAGAGGTGAAATACCTTCTTCCCATTCTTTCCCTCGGTTCCCACCTCCTACCAGCTCCAACCCCATCCTCTATCCTCTAGCTCTGCCTTCCTAGAGTAGACAGGGGATGCTTTCTGGCTCTGGGAGTTTCCGTGTCTCCAGTCAAACTAGGCACAAGCCAGAGGGCCTTTGTAGACTTGTGTAAGGATTCCAGGAGCAGAATGATGTTTACCTTCCACAGAGAAGCAGAGGGATAAAGTGTGGGAATGTTTGGCTGCAGGCAGAGACTCCTCATGGAGATGAGGCCCTGGACTCATCTTTCTACATCTTCTACGCAGCTCTCCTGATATGACCACAGCCTCCTGAGTTCCTCAAACCCAATTCAGTATCTCTCATCATTCTGCTTCTCATCCTGCATTTATTTATTTATTTATTTTATTTATTTATTTATTCATTCCTACCTTCCTTTCTTTCTTTTTTTGTTTTTGAGACATGGTTTCTCTGTAGCTTTGGAGTCTGTTCTGGAACTTGCTCTGTAGACCACACTGGCTTTGAACTCAGAGATCCACCTGCCTCTGCCTCCTGAGTGCTGGGATTAAAGGTATGTGCTATCACCATCTGATTTGTCTTGCATTTCTCTTCCTGGGTAGCATGAGCTCTCCTGCCATCCAAAACCCAAAATCTGAAGGTCACCTGGACCTTCACTGTCTCCTTACACACCAATACATCATCCTATGATTGGTTAGTTAATTAGTTACCTGGCCATTTGACTTTGTGAATTTCTGTTTAGGCTTTTAAAGGATTCTAAGAGACCAGGTAGCCCATTTCTGCTAATGGTCAGAAGCAGAGAAGGGGTGCTGGCTTACAGAACTGAGATACCCTGTAAGGAGTATGGTTTTTCCGCCTGCCGCCGCTGGTCTTGTCCCGCCGCCATGCCACCAGCCCCAAATACTACACAGAGACTCTGTATTCGATACAATACTGTTGGCCTGGTTACTTGTTTCTTATCGGCTAGCTCTGCCTTAATTATTAACCCATTTCTGCTGATCTATGTATTTCTCTTACCGGGGAGCCGGCGGCATACAGCTTTCTCCAGACTCTCCATCTTGACCCTCTTTCCTGCTTCCTATTTCCTCCTTGTCTCCTAGTCCCTCCTATCTTCCTTTCCTATTGGCCAACAGTGCTTTATTATTAACCAGTATGAGAAACATATACAGAATGACATCTCCCATCAATACCCTTGACTTCAGTTGCAGTGTTAGCTGAGTTCAGGGCTCCAGTAGACAATACAGGAGCTCTCCCCTTTGGATCTTGCTCTATTTCTCAGTTCTGAGTGTTCAGGAGGTACCATCAGTCTAGGGAGGGAGGGTGCTGACAGAAGGTAAGTGTCCATGTCTTTACTAGCTAGTGGTCCAGCCTGACCTGCCCTCTGGGAAGAATCAGACCCAGTCTGAGCGTATTCTGTTCCCACTCTGGGATCACACACTGTGTCCACATATAAAAAAAGTCCACACAAAGTCCTATATCCACTCTGTAGGGCACAATGACAGCCTGTCAGCATTGCTTGGAGCAATTTCTTCAGGAACAAAGGAAGATAGATGCATCCTATCCTCTTGATCAACCACTTTCCCCCTTGACATTCCATGACCCTTTTATTTCATACCTGCAGCATCGGTAACACTTGTAACTGGTTTCTATGCCTCCCACACTGTCCTGTCCTGTCCAGTCCTGTCCTGTCCACACTTCCATTCCTTAGATTCTTCATCTATGAGGAATCGCTTAGCAGCGGCTCCCTTTACATTCTGCTTAAAATGAGTTCTTAGAAGAAAAGATGTGAGCTTTTGTGATCTTCCTGTTCCTAGATTACAAATCAGCTTTGTCACCAGGGCAAAGGTGATGGGAAAGTCTGCTGCATCCTGGTCCCAGTTGTCTCCCACATCTTCGTGTTGTAGATTTCCTCCCACTGGTGTCTGATTTGAGACAAGCTAGGATCATTCTGAAAGAAGGAACCTCAATTGAGAAAATGCCCCCACCAGACTTGCCTGTGAGCAAGCTGAAAATTTTTCGCACCCCATAAGCCTCTCTGCCTATGCAGTGATTCAAATCAGACCAAAGTCCAAGTTTAATGGATTCAGTGCTCCCAGATGGCCTTCCATCCCCCCCCAGAGAGGAGACAGGAAAGAGAGACTGGAAAATCACATGTCTATTTTCTGAGAGGCAGTTTAAGTACCTTGAGCATCTCTGGAGAAGGGGTCATCATCTGGTGGGCTTTCAGAGATGCAGCAGGGTTTGGAGGGAGACAGGGGAGGGGGCTTGGGTGGAACTTCCTCCATAATCTTCCAGACTCTTTGAGTATACAGATGCCAAAGGCTGGGGTGAAGCTTCCACCATAACGCACGCCTGTGGGGCAATTTTTATTTATTTATTTATTATTGATGAGGGAGGGCCGAGGCCACAGTAGGTAGTGCCACCCTGGGCTGGTGGTCTTGGGTACTGTTAGAAAGTGGGCTGAGAAAGCCATGAGGAGAAAGCCAGTAGTCAATATGCCTTCATGGCCTCTACATCACTTCCTGTCTTAAGTACTGTCCCGATTTATCTAGATGATAGACTACAAGCTGTAAAATAAAATAAACCCTTTCCCCCCACAAGTTGCAAAAACAATGTTATGTCATGGCAACAATAACCTTACCAGAGACAGTAGCCACAAGCTGGGAAGGAATGAAACTAAAGGTCCTGGAAGATGCGTCTTCTTCATGCCATGACCTAACAGGAAGACCCTTTGCTTTCAACAGGAGGACACTGGCTCACACAACACCATCCTGTGGCCTCCAAACCCTGTCCCCCCACAGGTACAGATGTGTGTACTTTACGCTGCTGGTCTTTCAGTTGTCTAACATCTAGGTGGCTGCTGACAATGGGCATAGCATGGGCACACGAATATTTAGCTTTTCCCTCCCTCTCTAATGCCTAGTCCTTCCATCCCTATTAAGTTGCAAAGCACACTAGAAATCAGCAATACGGCTTTAGAATTTTAGAAATAACCTGTTGAATGTGGCTGTCTGAGAACTGGCTTGCCAATGGGCTGTGGGATGCTGAATAAGGTTTGTATTGTCAACAGAAGAGAAGGCAGATGCTGGGAGCCAGCACTAATCCTCCCAAAGGCTTTGACTTTGATATCTTTTGTCCTAAAGAGAGGCTGGGAAATGGCGTGGTGGCCCTACCTTCCAAGCCAGTGGGCAAAATGATTTGTCATTAGAAAGATTCAATTCAGAGTCAGCTGTGGGTGTTATTGCATAGTAATGCAGCTGGCTGAGCCCATAGCCTCAGCTCTGGGTGTTCATTATCAAGGGAAGGGGAGCTTTCTGGAGAAGCTGTGCGGGTGAGTGCCTCTGGGTGTGGCCATGGGAGGCCTGTTCTACAATCCTGACCCAGCCCGTACAGGTGTGTCTGTCATCAGGTGATGTGATTTGCTTTAAAAAGCCACTCCACCCTGAAGGTGGCTGCCAGGTGGGTGTGCTCCAGGCTTGTGTCTCCCATAACCTGACAGTTCTGACATTGTGTGGCATCACAGCTGCCCCTACATGGTGAAGGCTGTTTGCACGTGCACTGTCCTCTGGCTTCTTCACAGTCCCATGAGTGAGCAGCCTGAGTGGATTGCTCACAATTTCCAGCAAAGGGGCCTTGGCTGTCAATCAGCTTGGCTATTTGAATGAGTGAAGGGGTAGGTATTACAACCTGGGTTTTGTAATCCTGGCAAACCTGGCCCTGCCTCTTTCCCACCTGCACATGGCAGGTGTATGTATGTACCCTGGCTCTTTAAAAGAAAAAGTCCACCTACTTCTGCTCTCCCCCTTTTCCTCTGAAGGGCAGACAGAATGTTTCCTGTCTCCCATACCCCCTTTTCTTCTGTCCTGTCTCTGTGTCTCTCTGTCTCTTTATTTCTTTTCTCTTTCCTTCCCTTATTTTCTTACCTCTCCCTCAGTAAAACTTTCAAGGAGTCGTGTCAACAGGTCTCCACGGACCTACCACTCGCAGTCCCAACCCATTACCGCTGGATTCCCAGCCCATTACGCTTTATTCCTAACATTGGCCTCCAGTAAGTTGCAAAAAAAAAAAAAAAAAAAAAAATACCGGGGCCAGGTGTTTTCAAGCTGAGTTCATCTATCCTTCAGGACTGGCCCAAGGTCAAGGAGGAAGTTGACGAGGAGAATCCAGGTCACCAACCAGCATAGCTTGCCTAATATGATCTGTATCTAAGGCTTGGAGTTAAAGTTGGAAGAAAGCTATCACTTCACATTTTCCTCGCAATCATTTTTCAATCTTACATATTTGATCAGAAGGTCAAGGCATTTGCCTACTCTCATAAATCTGTGACAGACTTGGGACAGCAGGCTGTCCTAGCACCAGGTCTAGGCTCCTAAGGGTACCTCTGCCAGGCTAGGAGCAGTATGGTCTTCTGGCTTAGGACACTTCACAATGGTCCATAGAATAGCCCAAGACTTAGGCACAGATCCCTATAAAATGACCATTTGTGGAGGCCCATCCCCCCAAACCCAAAGGAGAGGCAGGTGAACCCTTGCCTCATGGAATATACATGCAAACAGACAAGTGAATAAATAAATAAACCAGCAAGTAAATGAATGAACAGCCGGGGCAGCTTATGATAATGAATGCGAGCCAGGCACACAAAGACAATGCCATGTGATCCTACTCATAAGGACTTAAGAACCTGGGGGGGGGGGCTCTTCCAGAGACTGAGGAGGAGGCTGGGGAGCGGGGAGGTGGGGGAGGGGGGACGGACATCGAGAGTAGTCAGAGTACTAGCTTCCAGTGAGCCTGAATGAGAAGGAAGCTCTGTGACAGTAGGTAACAACTGCAAACTGTATTGATGACAAGCCAGAAGAAAGAACTCTTGAAGAATTTTTTTTTTCTGGGATTGCAGAGGTGCCTCAGAGTTCAGGAGCACATCCTGTTCTTGCAGAAGAGCAGAGTTCGATTCCCAGCACCCACATCAGGCAGCTGCCCAACTCTAGCTTCAGGGGACCCAACACCCTCTTTTGGTCTCCTCATGCACCTGAGTGTATGTGACACACAGATAGAGAGAGAGAGAGGCACACATATAAATAAATAAAAATTAAAAACAAATCTTTTTTAAAAAAAGAAATCTTTAAAATTTGATTATATTTTCATATATGTTGTATTTTTACCTTTATCCTTCACCCCCTCCTACTTCTACTGATTCCCTTTCTCTCCCCAACTAGTGCCCTCCTATTTCCATTTTTTCTCTTTGTTAGCCTTTGAGTTTTAGGGTACTTACAGAAACGTAGGTGAGGTATAGTTTATAGGCGCTTGAGCACCTTACCCTTATACCTTACACCTTATAGCACTCAAGAAAATGTTTCTCCCTTCTTACTCAACTATTAGCTACCCAGAGATCCTATCCTGCTCTGTGGTGGAATGTTTATAGTCCAAATCTGTGTCTACTTATTTATTTTTCTATTTTGAGACAGGGTCTCACTACATAGCCTTGGCTGGCCTGGAACTCACTTGGTACACCAAGCTGTCTTTGAACTTACAGAGATCTGTTTGTCTCTGCCTTATAAATCCTGAGATTAAAGGTGTGTACCACAACATCCAGCCTTATGTCTGTTTTGAATTAAATTTTTGGAGTATTTTAGACTTATTGAAAGGTTTCAGACAATGCAGAGAGCCCTGTCATCTCACCTGATACCTTTCATCTATGTCTGCTGAGAATTGGGACTCTTGCATGCTCACCATCCATTCAGGGAAGAACATGGACTCAGACCTGTTCGATGTCCTGGCTAGAGCCTGGACATGTGCTCCATCTCCCGTATTTGGCCAGCCTGGCAGTTATTTCTGAAATCTGACTCTTAATACCATGGGGATGACCTTTGATCTACTTCCCAGCATTCACCTGCACTTATTCTGCCCCCAGAAGCTTATTCAAAGAGTGGACAGTGTAGGTAGACACTCTGGGCATGATTGGGCCATGCTGATTAAGCATGCTTTAATTAATTTCATTGGCATGGTCTAGAGAGATGGAGCACGTTTAAAAGGTAAGAGCAGTGAAAATAATTTTTTTTTAATGGTAAATGCTTTACTCTTGACAGAGGATACTTTTAGGACCGGAAAGTTGCTGTCATTGTCTAAAGATTGCTTTAAGATACCCAAGAAAGGCTGTTTGTTTACTCAAGCAGTGACAGCCCAGAGCAGATGTGAAGAAGCAACTGGGCGGCTGGGTTGTCATGTGAGCGCTGCTTCCCATCTCTCCAGCCTGCTGTCTGGAAGTGGAGGGAGGGTAGCATGAGAAGCACTTGAGGTTTTATAGTGATCTGCTGACGCAGCAGGAATCCCGCACACAGTAGGTCTGTAGGTCTTAGGACCGCTGCTAAGAAGAAGCTGGAAAAGGGCATTCAAAGGCACTGTAGGAAAAGCAACAAAGGCATAAGTTTTCATCGAAGTGGCTACCAGACTAAGTAGAAATAAGCTGTGTGTCATATATTAGCAAACAGTCTAGGCTGCCTCTTTCATGCCAGATGCAATCCTAGGCATCAGATCTAGGCTCTTGGCTGCATCAGTTACAAAGGCTCTCGGTTGTTCTGGTACATGGTGGAGCATGGCAACATGGCAGAGATCATAAAGTAACTTTTCCCATCGTGTGCTAAAACTGAGTTGAGCATGGGGGTGTACACCTTTAATCCCATCCCTATGGGGGCAGAGGCAGATGGCTCTCCGGGAATTCCAGGCCAGTCAGGGATACATAGTGAGACCCTGTCTCTAAAATAAAAAAAGAGCATCCAGGTCCAAATCCACCACTTCATTCACGGTGCGCTTTGTGACCTCTGGTGAGTGGCCTAACCTCTCTGTTTATCTGGGTGTTTATTTAACAGGATTGAGTTAAATGTGGAGAACAGTTAAGAGAACACATCTAATAATGCATTGGCAATTTCCCATCATGGCAGCATGTTCTCTAAGTAATTGTTATTACTATTGGGGAAAGGGCAAACCTCCAGTCAGAAGACCTGGACAAGACCCCTCAGTTCCCTATTTCTTATCTAGAAAACATTTTTTACTGTCTGTTTAGTAAATAGTGATTTTGCAAGAGTCACTGAGGTGTCATTGGAATGCTTGTATACCATTTATATGGATTGCTCTGTTGCTTTTATTTTAAGATGATGACAACAAGGAGCAGAATGACAATTACTGTTATTTTGACAGAGGGGAGGGTTAAACACAGGCCAGCCTGTGTGCCATCACTGAGCTATGCTCCTGCCCTGCTGCTTTTCCTTTAATTCCGACCAGACTGGTTTCTGCTAAGAGAGCCTTGCTGTGCCAGCAGGAAAGCTGGGCTGATGAAAGAAGAAGGGCCTGGCCCTTTGATTCCTCCAGAGGTGGACTGAGTCCTTGTTCATCCACTTTGCCTTGAACTCAAACAGAGATCTGCAATCAGCCTCCTTCTCCTTTTGTCAGTCTGCCTGTGCCATTAGATGAACTGCTGTATTTCCAGAGCTACTTGAAAGAAACCTTGGTCAAGGAACACAGGGTAGGGGATTTATCTGCCAATTATTTGCAGAGTGTTCAGCACTGATACCATAGTAATGAGAAGGGAGCTGGCTGCGGGTGTTAAAGGTTGATACTTACAAGACATGCAAGCAAGAACTAGTTAGTGCTTTTAAAAATTTAAGACCCTGGAGCTGGGTAGATGGTTCAGAAGCTGTGAGTGTTCTCCCAGAGGACCTGAGTTTAGTCCTTAGCAACCACATTGGGTGACTCACAACTGCCTGTAACTCTGCTCCAGGAGAATCAGATATCACCATGGGCACCCATATACATGTGCACATAGTCAGATACAGACCCACCACTACCACCACCACCAACACACACACACACACACACACACACACACACACACACAAAGTAATAAAAGAAAATTTTATAAGTTCAAGACCCTGATATAAAAATGTCACTCTTTTTGAACTGTGTGGTTCTTGAGTTATCATAGAAAACCACTCATGAAAGCCTAGAGATACCGAATGGATGAGAAGCCTTCCCCTAAAGATCATAGAGTTTGAAATTCAAGTGATCCAAGGGTGTACTGTCTTTCTACTTCCCTGGGGATGGGTGTTTCCTGGGTGCTCAGCTGGGAGGCTGAGCCCTGCAGACAGGGCAGGGGACTCCCAGGGCAGTTAACTCCCAGCACTGCAGCAAGGACCTCTTCAAAGGAGAGGACCAGAGTGAAGCTTTTCTCTGCTTCCTTCTTCTCTTCCTTGTTGAGGTAGCCAGGAAAAGAAATGTCCTGTCCCAGCTCTGGGATCAGAGAGAAGCAGGACCACTTGGGCACCAGCTCCCCAATAATGACACATAGACTTATTATCAATTACAGCATCTTGGCCTGTAACCTAGGCTTGTCCCATTGGCTCTTATAACTTAAATTCACCTGTTTCTATTAATCTTCGTTCTACCACGTGGTGTTACCTCTTCTCTGTACGCCTGACTTGCCCCACTTCTTACTGTCATCTCCCATGCACCTCTCTCCCCAGAAGTCCCACCTTTTCTCTCCTGCCTAGCTATTGGCTGTTTAGCATTGTATTAAACCAATCACAGCAGTGCACAAATATCCCTGCAACAGGCCCATACTCTGTGGTCCAAGTTGTTGAACCTCTGAAAGCCTTGGCTCTAAAGCAAGGATGTAGATAGCATCCTCCTGTGAAGTGGTGATGATTTGCTGAGAGTTCATGAGAAGATGCCAGCCCTGTACCTGTGCTACTGAGTGCTTTATGAGCAGAAGCCATTGTTGCTCCTCTTGCCTGTAATTATTTGCTTTTTGAAAAAGGACCTTGTTCTGTAGCTTCAGGCTCACCATCCTGTCTCTGCCTCTTGAGGGTGAGTGTTATAAGCCGGCATTCCCTCTTCATCTTTCCATCTGTCAGCTAAAGCAAAGGGAGATTTTGTAGTGTACTGTCCATGTTCATGCCAGACCATCCAGGCTTTTGGCTATTGAGGTATCCTTCATTATTTATCTTTGGATACAGTGGAATAAACCCAAATAAAGAAGCAGGCAAAGCCAGGGAAAGACAACAGGGGTGAAGATCTCAAAAAGACCTCCAGGTCCAGATAGGGTAGATGGTTCATGCTCTGTCTTTCAGTAACTCCAAAATTAAGTTTCAAAGTTCTGCTGCCTGGAGGTTGGTTTTTGTTTTGTTTTGTTTTAGGTGGGGACTGGCGAGGCAACGCACATTCACACATGCACACAAGAGTATTCCTCTCTTGAGAGGCCTAGAGGCTGGGTGCCATTCCTACAGTGGAAGCCATTCTCTTGTGTCCCTTACATTTACACCCTCCAACCATGGTACTGGTGTATGTCATCCTAACCTGTGAGCAGCTCAGGGGAGAGACTGATGTTCCCCAGCCCACTTTATAGCCCATGGCAAGCTTTAGATGAATGTTTCTCGTGTGGTTAAATGAATCAACAGCCACTGAAAATAATTCTTCCCCAAACTGTCCCTGAAAGGACATACTCATCCAATGTTTTGCTACAGCAGGGTCCATGGTTTGAGCTGAGGAATTGGTTTGTTCATGAGAGGATTTCTGTGTCTCCAGTTGCCCCAGAAAAGTATAGGGACAGAGGTGTCTCTCTCTCTCTCTCTCTCTCTCTCTCTCTCTCTCTCTCTCTCTCTCTGTCTCTCTGGACAATGTGAAGGAACCATTGAGATGAGAAAGATGGTCAGCATTCAGAATCTTCTTGTCCAGGCTCTAGTACCCATTCCCACTACCCCTCATGATGGCCAGAACACCCCAAAAAGGCTCAGCTAGCTCTCAAACCATGCCTCCGACCCTGAAGAATGCCACCTTCCCCGTCATAAAGGCAAAGGCACCAGGACATCTTATTCTGAGGATTTGGATCATTTTCTAGATTGAACAAGAACAAACCAGGGCAGGAGGAAGGAGGCCACGTACTAACAGCCTTCTAAAGTATGTGTCACTGACGCGCCAGTTCTATGAGACATTACCAGGTGGGTCACAAACATGGGGTGGTCAGGAAACTTGAAGTATTCTGAGTTAAAATTCAGTAAATGAATCTGGTCAAGGTGGTAACATGCCTGTCATCCTAGCATTGGGAAGAGAGACAGAAAGACCACAAAATTCAGGCCTACCTGGGTTATATAAGAAGACTCCGCCTCAAAGGAAAAAAAAATTCCAGTAAATTATTTCATGTGGGACCTTTAAGATGTTACCATGCTCTGTGGATTTCTGAAAAATGGCCATGAAATGTAACACCTCAGACCCATTTTGCCGCAGAAAGCTTTGCATGATAGGTGTGTGGAAATCTTTTAGTTGCATATAGCAAATGTCCAGCTTGTACCAGAAAAGTAAAATAATGAGTTCAACACCTTTTTCAGTCACCTCTAGTTAGGTGGGCCAATGAGAATAGATCCAGGGGTCTGACACCCCAGAGTGCTGGCCTTGGTGTTACCCTAGTTTTGGTCCGCATGGTCTTCTTTCCCATGCTTGTGGGATGCCTTTTCTGCCATGACTAAGATCAAGGGACTGAGAAACCCACCCATCACTAGATCCTAAGATCTCTGTCCCTTCAAGGAATCCTGTGGAAGGACCTGGCCACTGTTAGGAGAAGGTTTTCCTGCTGGCCTGGACCCACCGTGGCACCAGCTCCAATTAACACACTGAGACTCTCTGTTTGATATAATGCTGTTGGCCAGGTACTAGTTTCTTATTGGCTAGCTCTGTCTTAATTATTAACCCATTTCTATTAATCTAAGTACTTCCACATGGTCTTATCTTACTGGAGACAGTGGGCCAGCGGTTCTGCTCTCTTCAGTCTCTCCATGTTGACTCCTCCCTACTACTTCCTCTCTCCTCCTTGTCTCCTAGTCCCACCTATCTTGCTTTCCTATTGGCCAACAGTGCTTTATTCATTAACAAATATGAGAAACACATTTACAGAATGACATCTCCCATTGGGTCACAGCTGTGTCTGTTCTTACTCTAGTGGGTGGGCAGGGGCATTGTGCTGTACATTTTCTTTCTTTCTTTTTTTGTATTCAGTTATACATTTTCCCCCACTCCCCTTCTCTCTTCCCCTCCTCCTCCCACACACCCCTGTCCCTGTGCTCCCAGTTCACTCAGGAGATCTTGTCTTTTTCCTCTTCCTAGGCAGATCCAGGTATGTCTCTGTTAGGGTCCTCTTTGTAACCTGGGGTTGTGCCCCAGGTCTGGTTGACCTTTGCTTTATGTCTAATATCCACTTATGAGTGAGTACATATTATATTTGTCTTTCTGGGTCTGGGTTACCTCACTCAGGATAGATTTTTCTAGTTCCATTTATTTGACTGCAAATTTCAAGATGTCATTGTTGTGTTGTACATTTTCTAAGAGGCAGAGGGCATAGGCGGGACATTTAAACAGGGGCAGACCATTCCCCAAAGGATGTGCTATTCAGTGGGGAGATGGGAGTACAAAGCCATTCCTGGGAAGACAAAACACAGTAACTGCCCTTTGGAAATACGGCTTGGGGTTTATGGAAGCCTCTTTCCTTCTCCTGACTTCTGAACTATGCCTCTGCAAGCATCACTGAAATTGAGTGTTAGAAAAAACATCTCATTTTTTTCTGTCCTGTGACTTAAATGCTGAGTTTGACGTACAATGGCTGGGAATGGAGATATGACACTAGAAGTAGACTACTTGCCTAGCATGCACAAGGTCCTGGGCTCAATCCCTACAACTGGTTTAAAATAGAGAGAGATACATAGGTAAAAATAAATTAACAAGGCAGTGGTGGCACACACCTTTAGTTCTAGCCCAGGGGAGGCAGAGGCAGGTGGATCTCTGAATTTGAGGCCAGCCTGGTCTACAGAGCGAGTTCCAGGACAGTCAGGGCTGTTATAGAGATAAACCCTGTCTCAAAGAAGAAAGAAAAGAAGAGCCCTTTTCCCCATGTCTACATGTATGTACATACATCATGTGCATGGCCAGGAGAGGATATTGGATTTATAGATGGTTATGAGCTGCCATGTGGATGCTGGGGGTCAAACCTGGATCTACCAGAAGAGCATCGAGTGCTCTTAACCACTGAGCCATCTCTCTAGCCCCCATGCTTGGTTTCATACTGAAGCAGTCACAGTGCTTGATTGGAACTGTGTGTTTGAAGAGATCTGTGCCACCTCTGCTCAGCTTTCCACATGTCCTCTATATATCTCGTCTAAGGCTCAGTAACCTGCCTGGCTGATGGCAGTGCTCTGGGAGGACCATAGGCTGTAGCGTGCACGTCTTCGGTCACAGGCTTATTGAAAAACATTGCTGTGGTTTTACAGATTTCTGAATTTCTTTCCAATATCTTTTTCTCCTGATTCAGAGGACTTCATCAGTTCAGAATCCAGGAGCATTGCAACTGGCTGGGAACAGTGACTCTCTACAGAAGAAGCAGGGGGACTCGATTGGAACTGGTGCTGGCAGGTAGGGAGCTGGCTGTGGAGCATGGGCAGATGCAGCCTGCAGCATGATCCACTCAGTGCTTGTTTCAGCCCTTGCTTTAATGCATTTGTGTTGGGAAATCCAGACATGTGAGAAGTCCTAAGTGGCTTGCTTTCAGACCAATGATTCATGGAACACTCTGTGGTTGGTTTAAGCCTGCAGGGATTGGAAAATTCATAGTTTTCCTGCCCAAAGATGAAACCATACATTTCTATTCCAGCAACGTTTCAAGTAATTTATCTTCCAAGTGAGTGAGGCTTCCAAGGGGCTTAATATATGATTGTATGCAGTCTGTAATTCAGGGTGGGGGCAGTTGAGGTATGGCACTTGGAGCCACAGAACACAAAATTCAGGAGGCCCTTCCTCAAGCCACCCAGGGAGGCTGGCGGATAGAGTCCAGAAGCCAATGCAGCCATATTGTGGACATGGCATGTGGCCAGTCCAAGAGTAGCTCCTCATTATGACCATGGCCAAGACTGGCTTTCATGGCTTCCTACTAAACCTTTCTCTACCCGGTGTTCTGCAATCTCGATTCTAGAGGCATCCATGAATTGAAAGCAAGTAGATGTGAGTATTTGGTCCCCAGCAGGGACACAGGCCAAGCAGAGTGGAGTCAATTAGGGACCACTTGTGGGTTCAAGTCATGAATAGGCCTTAGATCTGGTTAGTGTAACACTCTTGAAGAGCTCCCAGGAGTCTGTAATTGCAGGCCCTAAAGGAACAAACAGGAGCTCCTTAAACCAAAACTTCAAAATCCAATGGTCAGTCCCTGTCACAGATAGTGATACTAGGTCATGGCATGTTTTGTCATAGCATCTTCAAGCCTCTATGTAAAAAGTGACCATGTTTTATTTTGGATATGTAAAAGTGGCCCCTAGTGGCAGGAATTACAATGTGCAGAGGGTGAGTGTTTTCTTGGGTAGTGGTGTCCAGAGGAAATTCTTGCTTCTTCTTGGCATGAACATTGAATTTCTTTAGAGAAATAATCAGATGAAGCACAGTATTTTGTTGGGTCACAAGAGTGGGTTTTTTTTTTTTTTTTTGAGTCAGGCTCTCACTATGTAGCCTTGGCTGCCAGGAACTCTATATGTAGACCAGGCAGAATCCACCTGCCTCTGCTTCTGGGGAGCTGGGATTAAAGGCATACACCCCTAGGGTGGTCACAGGAGTGATAATTTGCATTGCACCCATGACCTTTGTCATCTCAGCATGGGAGTTGCCTTGTCTCCCCAGATCTCTATCCTCTGTTCCCTGTTCCCAAGCAAATAATAGGACAAAACTTTTAGTAGTCAGGGATCTAACCAGACTTCTAGGTTGGCTCTGATGACATGAGACTAATAGTTTTTTTTTTTCTGGGATCTCACATGCAGGAACCCACTACTAGCTGAGACTCAAGGCCCAGCTTCCTGCCCCATCCTCAGGGAGCCCTGGGGTCTCTAAGGAGACTGGGGACACATTCCCAGCTTGTGTCACAGATGGCTTTCTGAGTAACTGCATCTTAAAGCTCTTTTGTTGTTTGTTCCTCAGTGTTAGTTAATTATTATTTTTCTCTAGAAGAACTATCTCTCCTGGGCATGTGAACTGAGCATGAAAGAGATGGCAGGTGTCTAGGAACAGGCAACATCTAAGTCACAACTGCAAACAGGTCAGTTCTCAATAAATTAGTGCTTGTCCCTGTGCAGGGTTAGATTTCATCCCAAATCTACACGGGCCCCGTATGCTTCATGCACTCAGGATGTTTGTAGGAGGCAAGATGGGGCAGGGCTGCTGTGTGAGTCACAACAGTCTTGACATCTCTCAGAAGGATAACAGTATAATACTCACTTGCATATGAGTGCCAGACACCATGCCAAATGAGCTATGGCTACAAAATGAAAATTTGTTTTCTTTGAACCAATTCAGCTCTGATTCTGAATCCTTAACTCTGCCAGCTGGCAGGAATTCCCTTGGGGCACTCCTATTTATTTATTTATTTGTTTATTTGTTTGTTTTATTGAGCTAAGGCCTCTCTCTACAGAGACCTGGTTGTCCTAGACCAGGCTGGGCTAGAATTCAAAGAGATTCGCCTACCTCCATCTCCCGAGTGTTGGGATTAAAGGTGTGTGCCACCACAACACCCTGCCTGATGTTCCCTCTCTAAAGTCTGGTGTACTGACGCTATCCTCTGACCTCTACTCCCCCATACCACCACTAAGATACCCATTGGTCCAGCCACATTATCCACTGACCACACAACTATACTGCCTCCCTATAACCTTTACCACATGACCATTCCCTTGGGGCTGCTTCCTCAATGTTCATCCATCTCTGAAGCAAGCTTTCTTGTCAGACTATCTTTGGATCACCAAATCCCAAATAATGACATGGAGACTTATTGTTAATTATGAAAGCTTAGCCATTAGCTTAGGCATGTTTCCAGCTAGTGCTTATAATTTAACTAACCCATATTTTTAATCTACATTCTACCACATGGCTCAGTTCCCTCTCCTCAATACGGCATGTCCGACTTGCTCTGAGTCTGCTGATGAAATCCGTGTGCCTAGATCCCTCCTCCTCTTCCTCTCTCTCCCTGGAAATCCCGACTATCCTCTGCTGCCTAGCTATTGGCCATTCAGCTCTTTACTACACCAATCACAGCAATGCATCTCCACACAGTGTACAAATATCCCAGAGCACACCTCTGAGCCCCAGAACATGGTTAGAAAGCCAAGGGGAGAATTCTCACCATGTACCCTCCCCAGCTCCCCGTCTATCCCACCCCACCCCCACTTTCATCCTCACCTCCATCCAGGACTTTTTTCTGCTCTCTCATCTTTAAATTCATTTGCCTCCTCTGGTGGCCTAATTGTACAACCAGTATCCACTCTGAAAGGATACAGGGTTTTTACAGAAGCTAGGAATAGCCATGAACTTCAGACTGTGTTTTCTAGTTGCAAAGGCTCCAGAGATGAGAAGCGCAGGAAAGTCTGCAGCAGCTGAGCTGTGGGAGGAAAACAGTTACCCACCTTATCCTTTGGTCTCTGCAACTGTGATTTCAACCTGCCGTGGACAGGAAAAAGTACATGTGTATTAAACATATACAGATTTAAAAATTATTCCCTAAACAATATAGTGGGGCATTTATTTTCATTCTGTTAGATAAAACTAGTATATAGTCATAGTGGAGTGGAGCCCATTCTGAACCCCACATTTGAGGCAGAGGCAGAAGGCTCAGTGTGAGTTAGATGACAGTGTGGGCTTCAACAGAGTATATAGCCAGATTTTGTTTAACAATAAAAATCAGATACATTTTAAAAAAGGAATCAACATGATTTAAAGTATCGGAAGGAATATACTGTGAATTTGAGTAGTAGGGACTTGAACACTCTCTGATTTTGGGGAGCCCTAGAGCCAGTTCTCAGCAAATATGGAGAGAGAATATATAGAGGAAAAGGCACAAATTAATATTACCAAAGAGGTTCTCAGCCCAGGCCATATCTTCACACTACAAACAAGGACACAGACTTGGAGCACTGCCTGATCTTCATTAGTGGTAGAAATTCCACTGTTTGCCTCAAGAAGCATCCCCCTCTCTGAGCTGAAGTAGAACCAGGGTCTTACATGGCCCCCAGGAGTAGATTCCTTACCTAGAGAGGCACTTGTCCAACTGCCTTGCTTCCAGATTGCCACATGGTGTCACTGTTAGAACTTGACCTTGCATAGTCCAACCTCATTACATGTCCATCCCTGCCTGAACTTGGGTTCCTGAAGGAAGTCAGTCCTGCCCTCCTCCCCACAAGAGCAATGCTAGCTTAATCCAGGTAATACCCCTGCCTGCTCCCATGTCTATCCAACATGGCTGGCCTGGATGTCTGCATCTGGACTGGTTTCAGGCCCATTGCTTCCTACAGCCCTTCTCTCCTTAGATACCACCAACTAAGAATGGTAACCCTACAAAATGCAGCTGACCTTGTCACATAGCCTTTGTAGAACAGCAGAACAAGGAGGCTGAGGGAAGGAAGAAGGGCAGTAGTCCCGGGACTTCTTTGGAGAAACTTCTGCTCGGTTGAAGTCATGCCACAGAAAAGAGTTCAGGATTCAATATGGAGCAAAGTTAGAGTTTAATGAGAAAAAGATTTTAAAATATATTCAAGGGTCTGGAGAGAAGACTCAGCAGTTAAGAGTGCCTACTGCTCTTGCAGAGGACCGGAGTGCCGGCCCCAGCACCCACATCAGGTGGCTCACAATTGCCTGTAACTCCAGCTCCAAGGTATCCAGTACTCTGGTCTGTCTTTTGTAGATACAGGCATCCACATACATATACATACATACATACACACATGAGTAAAAATAAATTAAGCATGTGTGTTATAGAGAAGAAAGATGTTCATAAGAGAAACACTCAAGACACAGAGGCAGGATTCTCATCTTAATACTAGTTACATAGGGAGATATAGGGGGCTCCTGAAGTCACTGTTTATGGAGTTTCTTTCATAATTGCCTTATTTATAGGGGTGTAGACGTGCCATGGTACACTTAGGAGGGTCAGAAAACAACTTGTGGGAGCTGGTTCTCTCTGACCAGGTGGTTCTCGGGGATCAGACTCATGTCACCCGGCTTGGTGGCAAGTGCCTTTACCTGATGCTTCACCTTGCTGGCTCTAGTCACAGCATTTATAAGGAACTTTTTTTCTTCTTCTTTAATGGGAATGAGATCATAAGGAAGTCTCTCAGATACATTGGACAGAATTATAGTCTGATTAAAAAAATTATAAGTCAAGAGGTCAAAGGACTCCTTACTGTAAGAAGGTAACCAGGAAGGTAAGGCATTTGTTTTTACTGTAAACAAGGTTCATAATCTCAACAAATTACTGTTTACAGCTGGCAAGAGTACTGTGACTCTCAAAAGTCACCTTAGCTTAGGCCTCCAGCATGGTTGATTGCTAATTTTACATTCTCATTTGAAATCTCTGTAGGAAAACAAAAAACAAAAACAAAACAAAG